TGCCCATAATGGGTCATTTGCTCATAACATCCACTGTTAATTGGCATGAATAGTGAAGTATGAGGCCTGACCCTACAGCTGTTTTCACAGTTTGGGCAGAGCACCAGCTGGTGCCAATGTAATGCCAAAAACATAGAAAAGGCCCAGCAGTAGATTGAGCTTGGCTGTCCGCTGAGGAATTTTGCTGAAGCTCTGACTCCGGAACTGTCTTTCCAGGGAAAATGCCATGGGGATGGTGAGCAGTGGCAGTGCCATGCTGATGGTATAACGTGTGGCCAGCACACAGAAGATCAGGTAGGGCAAGAAGAGCAGCACGGTGTAGAGAATATAGGAGAAGGTGGGGCCGATGAGGATGGCCAAGGTGACAATCCCGGCCTGCCGGTCTGACTCCATGTCCCGTGTGTTGTTGCTGTGCAGGATGGCCTCAGTGCTGAGGGCCAGAGGGACAGCGTAGAGCAGAGGTGACACAGACAGGTAACCCACCTGCACAGCGTGGGCAAACATCACAGCCAGGGGACCAAAGGTGATCAGGATCACCACGTCGCCAAGCGCAACGTATTTAAATCCAATTCCTGTGGCAAGACACAAGAATAAAACCAAGCATCATTAAACAATTCAAATGACACAAAAGAATGGATGACATAACACTTCAGCCCTTTTCCATAGGAATATTGCAAAACAACCAAAGCACATGCAGCTATGGACAAGAAACATGTTTTATCTCCTTTTTATTTTTTAAAATAAGGATTTCTCCAGACAATGTAACAAAAACTAAGGGCCAGGTTTTAATACCCACCTGGAAGTACCTGTCTCTGCAGAAATCTATAGAAATAAAGTACTTTTCAGTGTGATCATAAATACTATAACCTGGTCCTGAAGAAATATGGAAAATGCTCAGAACGAAATGAAAAACTGACGAGACACTTTCAGGGAAACTGGAAGTCTGACAGTTTGAAACTAAGTTGTTTTTTCTTCTCCTAGTTATGGTGATTGTATCTATCCAACACAGGAAGACACTAAAATATTGTAATATTTTATAATATTAATATTATATTTTAATTAATTAATTCGAGATATTAATATATTAATATTAATATATTAATAATATATTAATAATATATTAATATATTTTTAATAAGATATTAAGAAAAATCACAAACTGTACAACATTCACAGTGAAGCTCCATCTAAAGAATAATAACATTCCAAAACGAAGTAACATTCCCACCAAAGGAAAGAAAATATGCTTTAGCTACAATGCTAGAGGATACGAGATAAACATCACAAAAAGATTCAGCAACAGTTCTTATAAGCATTTAAAGCCATATTTGTAAATAATAATGCCTCAACACCACTATCTAACTGAAAATATTAGTATGACTTTTCCCACAACATTCAATTGCAAAGAATACAAGTTTATGTACCAGTACATCAGGAAATACCACAAATATTTTATGGCAGTGCACTAGATGGATCGCGTGTGTCTTCCAGAAACCTTTTGACAAAGCAGCTGACTCTAACACTTCTACATTCAGATTCACAACAAACGGGATGCAGCATTTACCTCCGGTATAAAGGAAGGAGCTGGAAAGTCCTCCAAAGTAAATCAGGGCCAGGTGCTCCAGCTTGAGCGTGGAGACAGCGTAAAGTCCAGCAGCGCAGATACAGCCCACAGTGTAGAGAAAGACTCCAAACCGCACTACATCCTGCGGCTGCAAAATCTGGTCCACCAATGTCCTGTCATCACTCTTCTTGTGGTCGATGCCTTTGGAAAAGTCATAGTAGGTATTCACCAAGTTGCCGGCCCCGTGCACAGCCAGGACGGTCACGGCGCTTCCCAGCAGCAGCCCCGGGTCGAGCGCTCCCTCGGCCCGGTACGCCAGCGCGCTGCCCAGCGCCACAGGGGTCAGCGAGGCACTGAAGCTCCAGGGCCGGAGCGCCAGCACATAGGCCGCACACTT